TGCATTTTTCTTTTTTTGTACTTGTTACTTTGCACTTTTTGTTAGAAAATGTTTATTTATTTTTTTTAAGGTATCTAATATTTTGATACTTAATTTCCATGATCTAAATATTCTTAAGAATGAAAAGTTTGTTGTCATTTGGAAGTGTGTAGGCCTTCTTGCACTACTATGCTGTTACATTATGATTATATATTCAGTGGCATAAAATGGTCTTTAAAATGACAATAATATCGCTTATCGCAATTATTTCTGGGGCAATATATCGCACAACGAAAAGTTGTTATCGTGACAGGCCTAGGTTCAACTTTATGAAAGTGACAAACTTGAAGACAGCACATGATTTATATACACTTGCCAGCCCTATTTTTAACATTAAACAATGCAGGCTTTAAGGTTAAGCGCTATTGAGAGGTTATCGTTCAGCATGTGGCTAACAGAGCTACAATGATGTAGCATCTACACGGAGCCTCGTTTAAAGCAAGCAGCCTTCAAAACCAGTCTAATACACTCTGACAGTGCCGGACTGTCATTGAAGATGTAATGGATGTCATGTGCGCAATAAACAAACGAAAAACTCAAACGAAAGAGTTTGAATGAGGTTGAAGACGGGAAGCGATACCGCCCCCAATCAACAGGCCTATCTCACTACATTAGCCGCACGATACGACTTTCACGACTTATTTCAACTCGCTTAAACTAAAGATGCCTCGCAGAAACGCTTCATGCTTTCTTACTGTACTCAGCGGAGCGCGGTAGACACGGGATATCCGATAGAAACGTCGCCAAAAGCTCGCTGAGGTGAACCGTTCGCCTGCTAATGACCGTTATTAAAGGAGCGCACCCGCGTGGCCAGGCCGCTGCAGCAGAAACGCACAAACTCGTGGCCGAAAAACACACGCTCGGCGCAAAGACACGCTCACGGCCTCCTGACAGCTGAATATCGCCCGCGAAGTGCACTCGGGACGACATTATGATCTAAAACGTGATGTAAAAAGAGGCAGAGGCGTTTTCCTACCTGGTTACTGTGCGAAGCCATGCTCGCGGTGAGATTTCTCCACAATCACAGGATGAATGTTGTCTCGGGGGGAGGTGAGTTTGTAGTACTTGGTATTACCGGTAAACACCTACTGTGACATGGTTTCCATTTTGCTATGGTCTGTCATACGGTGGTTTTACTCAGGTTTAGTGCCGCTACTCCAGCATATCACGCCGTTTCTCCCACCGTCGCCGCCATCTTTATCTCGCGCCCGCGCGCGCGCGCCTTTCTCAACGAGCTCGTGTGCGTGAGTCGAGGGTGGGCGCGCCAAAATGACGTGCAAATTCAAACTTGCGTTGGGTTACCCTAAGCATTTTTATTAAAGGGGTCATATGATGCGATTTAAATTTTTCCTTTCTCTTTGGAGTGTTACAAGCTCTTGGTGCATAAAGAAGATCTGTAAAGTTGAAAAGAGGACGATATCGCTTCGTCATGCCTAGAGCTGATCTGTGCTGGTCGCTGAGGAAATACTTCAACTTCGCGCTGTGGATCGCCAGATCGGCTTTCACCGTGGACGAAACGGAGTCCAGCCTGACGTCGTCACATGTGGTTGCCGCAAGCATCACAGTATGGTAAGGGACGTAACATTTCCGTCACACGCTTGAGGTATTCGGCCAATCACAACGCACTGGATAGCTGGCCAATCAGAGCACACCTCGCTTTTCAGACCGATGAGCTTTGTAAAAATCTACGCGTTTCAGAAAGGCGGGGCATAGAGGAGAAACAATAATGTACAGTATGTGGGAAATAATGTGTTTTTTGAACCTTAAACCGCATAAACACATTTCATTACACAAAATAATGTTCTTTTTAGCAACTTCTTATGACCCCTTTAAGAGTATTTACTGTCAATGTCCTTGCTGGTTTCACTCAGTAAGATGACAAAAGTTAATGAATGAATGGAGTTTAATTTTTGTGGTCCTAAAACCTGCAAGATAATTATCATTTTGAGCCATGAGTTTACTCAGAAATGTCCCATGGGTTGTTTTTGATTCATGAATAAATTACGGTCTGTGGTTAATATGTTGCTAACGACTTTCTGAATAAGGACTACAACTACCACAAGGATGTAAGCTCACCTGCTTGAGGAATTGGACAACAGTGTAGTTCTTGTTAACAACTTCCCGTTTTAAATAACACAGTGGCTTCGAAACTAACTCGAAGGTAATTTATCTTTAAGGGAAAAAATGAGAAAGTCCTTAATAAACACAGACCCAATGTTTACACCCATTGCGTGATGACTAAACAAATGGGTAAATCGTGTTTTTTTTTTTTTAATGTTCATTGAAACGAACTGTTCGATAGAACCCTCTCTTTATAACCCTTACAAATTAATTAAAATAATTAATACAAGATTTGAACCAAAGAGTGCTTGATTTCCTTGTACAAAATAACTTTTCTCACAAAAAGACATGTACTTTAAGCACGTCCTGCTTTTCGCAAATTACACCATTAATTAGGCCTAACATTTATGTTGGAGACTACAAAAACGCCCCATGTTATCGAAATGGTCCGTGTTTATTTAGAAACTTTGACGAACAGACCAGGGGCCTTATTTATAAAACTTTACGTGGAATTCATCCTAAAAGTGTACGTACGCACGAAAGACGCTCTAGATTCTGCACAAAAGTTTCAGATTTATAAAACCACGAAAAATCATCCAATATCCTTGTTATGTTTTAGAATAAATATAAATAAAGATAAAAACAAAACTTAAAAAAAAACTGTTTAAAATAGTTATCAGATTTGAAATAGAGTTGATCTCATTCTTTAACACTGGCCAACTAGTAGCCTATTTCAATTGTTTTAAACAACTCAAATCAAACTAAATGTATGCAGTTTTGCTGATAAGGTGAATATCTTGTAGCTATTTTGAGTGGAAACAGATAGGCCTATTTATTGCAGTGTAAAATTGTCTCACTAACCAAGTATTTTAAAAAGGAAACGTATAAATCTTACCGTTTTCTTCAGCAGTGTCCGCCATAATATCGAAGTAAGTGCGCATCATTGATCATTGTTCTCGCTAAAAAATATTTTCTCATAACATAACAATTATTGTGCACCTATAGCACTCCTCGCTGTCAATAAAAGAGGAAAGTGATCAAGCGCATTTACTACAAATATGTCTAAATTCATATAATTTTAGTTTAAGTTCTGCGTAATGACTTTATGTAATTTCAGTCCTTATGAGAGTGGAATATTTAATGTAAATGTATATATCGGCATGAAAACAGAGCTTAAAATCATTGTTTTCACTTAATTAATTTTCTCACTCAAGGAAAAAGAGCATGCGTGCATGTGCGCAAATTTTCCCGTCAAGTTTGTTTTTATAAATTCCACCTTTTGCGCAGGAAGTGGCGTACGCCTCTTTCAGGGCTGTTTTTGTGCGTACGCAAAGGTTATAAACGAGACCCCAGGGTTGCCAGTTTTTCACAGCAAAACCCACTTAATTGCTACTCAAAACTAGACCAATCGCGTTTCGGGGGGTTCCACCGGTACAAATCGCGTTCTGGGGTAAAATACACGTTTTTTGGCTGGGTTCCCCTGGTAATATTCGCATTCCAGGGGCTAAATACCACATTATTGGGGTCGCTTCAACCACGGACATGAAAAACAACCTGCGGCAACAGTGTTAAAGTAGCCCAATTCCGCGGGAAAACCACGGACCTGGCAACACTGGAACAGACCGAATTGTGCGCTACATATAATGGTGTGGCGTTGTGACGCTACTGTGAGGCGGAGTCAGAGTCAGACAGGTTTCACAGGTGTGTACATCCACAACAACACAAGAAACCTGAGCGAAACCCAGACAAATCACCGCTGACTTCGTTCATTTCAGTAAAAGGTAGGCTCTGGTTTAATTAACTGGTTCATTACTGAGTTAGGCTACGTGTAAGATTTTTGTGACCTAGTTTATTTTGGTGATTTGATTCAGGAAATGAGATGAGCAATCTTGCGTCTAGATGAAACGTTTACTTTACAGAAGTGCTTTTATAAAAGTAATATGATTAAACCGAGAATGTTTCCAGCCTAAAACCACAACCACCCACATCAGTTAACAAACAATGTAACAATGTGCCATGTCGGTTCTAGTATCCGGGGACTTTATATTCACCTTGAACGTGCATCAGGTTTTAAACTCATCACATTTGTGAAATCTCCTTGTTTCTCAGGCAATGCCAGAATCAAGCCGGCATCATCACACAAGGGACAGAGACTACTCTAGTCGAGACAGGAGAGATGAAGGTGGACGCGAGGACAGGAGAGCACCTGATGGAGACGACAGATCACGAAGCCACCGAGAGAAGCAAAGATACGCTGACACACAAAGGGACCCCCGTGTGTACGAGGAGTGATTTTGATGTGCTGTGTCCCACCTACAAAATATGTATGTTCTCAGCAGAAGTATGCATGCATGCTGTGACTTTCTGCCCTGTTTGTTGTAATATTTTCTACAGGCCCAGTTACACCAAGACATCATCTTCATATTATGATGACAGTCAACCCTATCATCATAAAGGGGCACTTTACAACCTAAGGTACATCACAACAAGCAGAGGTAAACTCACTTTGAGGTTTTGTTTGTGCTGGAGAGGCTACTTTGAAACAGTCTCTTTCTAACCTTTAGAAATTAGCAGTCAAATTATCTTTTAATTTTGGGGAAAAAACGATGGTAGCAAACTAGGCTACATTACCAGTAGTACCGACACAATTCTGTAAAAATTATAAGAAGAGTATACAAAAATTATAATGTGTACAATATGCATTGAATTGGACGAATAACCCGTTAGCAAATAATTGTGTAGAATAGAACCGTTTTCCTGCTCATCTGAACAAATGTAAATGCTGCAAGACAGAACCAATCAATCACAGAGAGCGTTCGCTCACTTCTGAGTGCATTCAAACAGGGCTGCGCTTCCCAAAAGCATCAAAAGAAACCATTGATGCTTTTAGGAACGGCAGCCCAGAACAATACTTATCAGAGGACAGAAAAAAACATATTGAGCTATTTCACAATAAACAAATTGAAATTGTAGCCTACATAGTTTGTATATTGATGAAATCTATTGTAATGTGCACATGTTCTTGTCCTCTAGGCATCTGTCAGGCCATGGAATTCTTCTTAGGCTTGTTGATCGTCATCTGTGCTGGAGTGAACCACAGTAACTCGGGTCGGTATCGGGATATCGCCAGCTTAGGCGGTTTGTACCAGTACTATTACGGAGGAGCCAACGCATTCACCGGAGCAGAGGCGCAGAAGGTCCAGCAGCTCGACGACCAGTTCTACCGGCTCAAACTGCCCCCTTACGTCTACAGCATGGCGTGTGGCGGGGCGCTGATGCTTTACGCTTGTGCCACGCTGGCCCTCGGAGTGTTTCGCTTGCCCTACCGTTTCCCTCCTCTGCTGCTGGCTGAAGCCCTGCTGGATGTGCTCATAGGTCTCGGTTTTATTCCTACCATCGCTTTCTATTTCATAAAGCTGCAGGAGATCTACAACAACCTCATCTGTAAAGAGAGGGAAGCCATGTACAGCAGCAAAGGTCACAGAGGATTCGAGTGCCATCTCAACGGGGCAGACATAGCTGGAGGCTTGTTTGGTGTTCTGGGGATTATCATATTCCCCCTAAGCGCCGTGTTGGCCATCAGAGCTTTCATAAGAGTGCAAAAGATGAAGCAGAGGCCGACAGAAGACAACAACCTGTGAGGGTTACGCCATTTCATGAAGAGATTCAAATGTGGAAAGCACGGAAGGTCCTACACAAGTGTAAATGCTTTGGTTAGTATTTTTTACAGTATCAGAAGGATATGTATTTTTCCATTTTTTATATATATATATATATACACACGTTTGCTTTC